TCAGCGATCGATTTCGGAGTTTGATTTCACCGGGAATTTCAAAATCTCCGATGGACGACGGTGGAGGAGTGAGAGCAGGATGTATTCGGATCAGGTGTCCGTCGCCACGGAGAATCATGTCTCGGTTGTTCTCCTCGCCGGAAAAAATCAAAGGAAAGAAGACAGCTATGGCGGAAGTACAGGTGCGAGACTCTGACGCGGCGAGGATCCGAAATTTCTCGGAGGATGGTCATGGAGTCGTCGAATTTTCAGATTCGCCACCACCGACGACGATCGATTCCGGTAACGATTTATTGATCCAAAATCGATTTCCGTTTGAAAAGTTTCGCCGAATTGTGATCTTTAATTGAAGAAAAACAAAAACAATTAATTTAGAGTACGATTCTTCATTTCACTTTGAATATATATATTCAAGGCAATCTCGTAATCCCCGAGATCTCCTAACTATCAGAGACCGGAAATTGATAGAAGAACTAGATTGCAATCGTGTCTCAATTGAAAATTTTGACATCTCTATTTGGTTTGTTGTAGAATTGCAAAGAAGAGAGTTTTTGTTCAGTATTGGAGTGAGTTGCTATCTGTTACATCTGATTGTTACTAGTAGAGAAGAGATTCACAAGATAGTCAAGCTACGTAACGATCTAGAGAAGTTTCTTGAATGTAAGAACGACGAATTGAGGCGAAAACAGCAAGAGTTTGTCGAGTTACGGAACGATATAGAGAAGTTTATAGAGTTTCACAACGACGAACTGAGGCGAAAACAGCAGCGAGAGAGAAGTGAAACTCCTGCGTATTCCACCATAAGTGACGTTGTCGATGGACCGGAGTCTTCTACTACTGATCATTATTACTCACCACAGTTCCTAGAGACATCTTTGTCTACTAGACGTGAAGGGTCTTTGAAACATTACGTATTTAAAGGAGGAGAAGAAGATTTTGGAGGAGAAATGGATCAGCTTGAAGCAGAACTTGAAGCTGAGTTTGAGCTTCTTCAGATTGGTCAAGACCAAGATGGTAAAAGTTATCTGCTCAAGGTAAAGATCATGACTTTGAAAATTTCTGATTCTCTGTCTCAATTCGATGTTGATGTTGTTGTGAAATGATTCACAGGAGGAGGTTTCAGAGAAGAGTGAGGATTTACAAGGATTAAGGTTTGGACACAAGTGTCCAGGACTAGTGGAGGAACAAAGACAAGGAGTGTGTCCTTACGAGCTAGAGAGGAGGTTACACGAGCTAATGGAGACAAGACAAGAAGAAGAGATAAAGGAGCTTGAGATTGCATTGGAAGATGCTAAACAAAGGCTTCTTTTGAAGGAGACGGAAGCTTCTTGGTGGAAAGACACTGCTTATATAGTCTCTGAACATATACCAGAACCTTCTAGAATCAATTCCAACTCTCAATCTCGTCGTTACCCTCTCTCTAGGTGAGGAATTTGGTATTTCATGTTTCTCTTATTGGAAAAACAAAAAGAGAGAGTCAAGTAGTGTTGTGAAGAAAGCTGCATGTTAACTCAAAAGATTTGCCTTCTTTTCTTTTCTAAATATGTTCCATTTTACCGAGATTTTCTAGTAAAATGGAAGCTAAAGAGCATATATTTTTATAGCAAAAATATCGTTTTGGGAAATGTAATTTATTTATGTGATGAAATTTTGTAAACAATTTACATTTCATAAGAGTGTATTTATTCTATAAATAATATTTCAAAAATGTTGGCATCACGTTTCAAAAATATCGAGTAAAACAAAAAAAAATTCACGGTTGTTGTGACTCAAAGTTTAAAATATCGCAATTTCAGTC